AGGGATGGGCCAGTTTCCTAGCAACTGCTATCTCTAGTAGGTGGGGAAAGAATGCAGTAAGGCTGTCCTTCCCCTCAGGGCATTACTAGACTTCTCCACCCACATAGTTCAGGCCTTAACTAATAGCTGCTAATTTTTAATCTTTTTGGTCTCTTATTTGTACTTTATCATCTACCACTGTCAAAGCTTTTGCCATGATGTATTTTCAAACATTAAAAAACCTCTCAAACTAAATAATACTATAATTGATGACAACATGAGTTTGATATTTAGGTACATATAGATTGAAATGTTTATCTGTGCACAACCTAAAGCAATCCAGATGTACGCATTTCATACTTTTTGGAAAGTTGCTTTAAGGGGCTAAAGGTTAAGTGTGTACATCGCAAGCTGAATGTGGTGGCTCATGTCTTTAATCCCAGCACTCGAGAGACAGAGGCAGGCAGAGCCCATTAGTTTGAGGCCAACCTGATTCACATAGTAGTTTCAGGACAGCCAGACTACATTGTAAGACCCTGTCTTGAAACAACACCAACAAAGAGTTATGTGCGTCTCAGAGGCCCCTAGGTCTCTCTGAGGTAAGGGTGAGAGGATGCTTGGGACAGGATGTACCGAAGAAGACATAGAAGGCTCATGCATTGTCTCTCCTTTAGTAACATTCATGAGGGGCCTCTGTTAGACTCTTAACCGACATCCAAGGCAAAGGCAGTGCAGACCGGAAGAGCCTGGTAAATTCTATAAATACGGGCTTTAGTTTTCCCACTATGTAGCTGGGACTCACCAGAGGGTTTCAGAGTGTTAAATGCACAACTGTATATAGACACGCAACTGATGTGCCTTCAGACCTCACCAGCCATTGCTTTAGGATAACGCAGTAATTTTCTAGATGTAGATATACTGAAGCACCTTCTCACTGGCCCCGTTAAACTTCCTGGTTCCACCTTCACCAGTTTGCCACCCCTCCGTCGTAACCCCTACCTACCTTTCTCCTTGATTCCCTATATACTTAAAACCAATCTGTTCTAAGGAAAAACCAACCAACCAACCAACCAAATAACTGGATCAGTGTAGAAAAGAGCTGAAGAAGCGGTTGTGCAGCCTCATGCCACCCTCGGTTCCTCTGCTCTTTTACAGACGTCCCTCACGAGTTGTTTCTGGAAACTGCAAAGTTTCAGGACCCTGTCCTACCTAACTCCCAATGACTTTGGCCCGAGGGAGTAAAGGAAACTCCAAAGCCATTTTATATTCAGCCCCAGAATATACAAGAGGAAACATCTATTTCTTTCATGAGAAATTCCACTTGATGGGTATGGGTTGAACTGAGACGGCGCTAACCATTAGCATAGCATACAATTTTAAATTACATTTCGTCATTTCGTGTTATGTGCTCTGCCTCTGTGCATATCCATGAACCACTTACGTGCTTGGTGCTCACAGAGAGCAGAAGAAAGGGCATCAGATGACCTCGAACTAGAGTCACCGATAGTTGCCAACTACCATGTGGGTGCTGGGAATTGAACCCAAGTTTTCTCCCAGAACCGTAAGTTGTCTTGAGCCCTGAGCCATCTCTCCAGCCCTTAGCATAGTGCTTTTAATCAGGATGGAGTGAAATATTAAGTGACATTATTAAGGGTTAGGCGCACTGTTCGGCTTAAAATCTGTACATAGTGGGACAATTTTTCTTTTTCTGTTTTGGTTTGTTGAGACTTAAGGTTTCTCTGTGTAGCCCTGGCTATCCCAAAACTCACTCTGTAGACCAGACTGGCCTTGAACTCAGAGATCTGCCTGCCTCTGCCTCCTGAGTCCTGGGATTAGGGGCTTGTGCTACTAAGTCTACCTTGAAAGTTTTCTTTAGGATATGTAGTCTAACCCAGGTAACACTTTCTCGAACTTAGCTAGAGTCCTGTCCTTAGCAAGATGAGCTAGACAAACTATAAAGTACAGTGTATCAGTCTGCAGTTGTAGTGAGATTTACGTGACTGCAGTTTCCCTCCAAATGAATATGAGCAGGTTACTTTTGTACGGAAACCTGACAGTTTTGGTGCATTTCCTCAACAATGACCAATCTGCCAGGGCAGGTTACTAGTTGGCTCTGTTTCCCGGCTCACATCTCTGTCTCCCAGATGATGCCCACGGTGTGTGTGCGAGAGAGACAGACTGACTGGTAAAAGTTACGAAGATTGGTTAGGAGGTTGCCCAAGAGGCAAGCCACACCCTGAACAGAGGACTGTAGTTAAGGTCTTAAAATAGGCAACGCCCTAAGAACAGGTGAAGCTGGAATGTCCAGAAATGGGACGCCATCGATGCCAAAGGTACAAAAAAAGCGTGTTATTCTTACTCTGAGGCGAGGACAAAAATACAAGAAAACATTTGAGGCACGTGAATGTGAGTGTGTCCCTTCGATTACTTTAGTGTTAAGTCAACACGGCTGCAGACAAGGTCACGTGAAAAGAGTGAGACGCAATCTTAAGAGGTCCGGAATGGCAGTCCCATTCTCGGTAGGAGTTAGAGCGGCTTTCAGAGATCCACATTCAGTGTGCCCTGTGTTTTGTCGTAGTTTCCGATAAGTCCCAGGATGAGACATCAACTTCACCAGCGCTCCGGGAGCCACTGACATTTTCAAAGCTGCTGGAACAGAAGCCCTCCAGAGCTGTGCCAGGAGAGAGCGTCTTCCGCTACGGAAGGGCCCCACAGTGGATCGTCAAAAACGCCACTGTCACAACGTAAAGACAACCCTCCCCAGTCCCCCTCCCCTCCGAGAACTGAGCGGGACCCGAGCAGTCACCAACCAAATAAAGTTCCACGCTTGCCGCCTCGAGGTCGTGCTGCAGAGGCTGGAAGGCGGGGCGAGCCTCGGCGCAGAGCCCGGCCCCGCCCCCGTGCGGCCGTGGGCGGAGCAGAGGGCGTTCCTGCATCCCTAGAGGGCGAGGCCGGGCGAGGGGGCGGGCCCTGGCCCCGAGTGACGGCCCGTCGGCCCAATCGGCGTGAGGGCGCAGGGCCGGCCTTCCTGCAGCGTCTTCCGCTCGCCGGCTGCGGCGCCTGGGACGGTTGCGGTGGGTCTGGGCGCTGGGAAGCCGTCCAAGATGATTAAAAAATTCGACAAGAAGGACGAGGAGTCTGGTACGCGCGGCGCTCCGGACGCCCACCCTCAGGCGCAGGGGTCCCCCTTCCCTCGCTCGCAGCCGCCTGCTCCCGGGGCGGCCGCCGCGGCGGGGTCTCCCCGAAGCCCCTCCCCCGGCGCCGGGGCCTCCCCTCAGGCCGCGTGCTCGGGCCGGCAGTCGCCTGGAGCGCTCGGCGGCTCCGCCCCGGCGCGTCCCCGCCCCCCGCGCCCGCCCCCCGGCCGAGCCCCTCAGAGCCAGCCCTGCGTGGGGCCCCGTCGGGGGGCGAGGAGTGCGCGCGCATGTGTCCGTAGTCGGGTTGCTGGTGGGTTTAGGCCCCAGGGCGAGCACCCCCGTTGTGTGGGCTGGGGTCGACCGGGCCAGGGTTGCGTGTTCGTGGACTCTGAAGGGCCTTGATTCTCCTGTTCCCAGGGGTTAAGACTGCCCGGTGGGACACAGCTCATTGAATGCGCAGGCATCCAGAAGTGACTTGCGTGTTGATACCTGTCTGTGGCAGTGCAAGTGGGGAAGATGCCAAGCCTCTTCAAAAAAAAAAATAAAAATCTTCAGCTCTTCAGTGGTAGCTGCTCTCACAAGTGTGGTGGAAGGTTGGGTTAGTGGACCTTCATGGCCTCATCCTGCATGGCCTCTTTACATTTGTGATTCTCTGCGAAACTGTCCCTTTCCGCTTCAGTCAATGTGTGGAACACATAAAACAGGGCTTGCTTCTAGGGAAATCCATGGTGTCCTGTCATCTCATTACTCTTGGTGGTGGTGGGAGCGACACATTTGTTAACATCCATGGGCTGGGGGAGGGGACGTAGGGAATGAAAGCTCATTTCGGACAGGGTTCCTATATCCAGAGAAGTCCAAGGTCTCTCCGTTTGCCGCTGACAGAATTTGTACCAGAATCAGAATTACTTCATCCAACTTATTTGCATATTAGTAATGGTTGTCCTTGTGACTTCCAAGGGATCATTGTGTTTAGGTGAGATTCCCCAAGCATGCAATATCTTTCTGGAGAAAAGTCTTTGTAGGACAGCTGCTGAAGACCTTCTCTTTCTCTCGTACTATAGGTAGTGGTTCCAATCCTTTCCAGCATTTGGAGAAGAGTGCTGTCTTGCAGGAGGTATGGCTTGGATATATACAGTGCCTTGTCGATTCAGTTTGAGAATGATGGGCAAAGAACCTCGGTGATACTAAAGTCAGGATATCCGAAAGAAGAATGGAGAGCGCAGATCAGCCTGACAGTCTGCAAATCACTCTTTCCCACAGTTGATAAAGCTAGAAAGATATTCAGTTTTTATTTATTTATATATTAAAAGTAACAAAGGAGTGTAGCCAAGTGCAGAGAGGAGAGGAGAGTCTGGAGCTATAGAAATGTGTGGACATACAGACTCTGTCTTGTGCCAGGGAGTTTTATGAACTATCAGAAGAGGTGGATTGGGGCTGTTGGAAGGACTTACAGACAGTAAGCTCATAGTGTTCACATGGAGACAGATTCCAGGAAAGTCTCAAGTTGAAGTCATCAACCTAGGGTAGACAGGAAAGCACACCACATCCAGGAATTTGTTGTATACCATAATAGCTGAGAGCATGGACAACTGACGTTATTTGATACCGTAGTAACGTGTTGTTAATGTTATAAAAGATGAATTTGCTGTCCTCTGTGATAGAAAATACATCATCTGTAGCATACTGTTTTACATATTTCTGTAGGCACGCCTATTCAATGAAACTCCCATCAATCCAAGAAGATGCTTGCATATATTGACAAAGATTCTTTACTTACTCAACCAGGTAAACTTCTGCTTTCCTTAGATTTGTGTGTTAGGATAGAAATATGTAACCTACAGCAAAGTACTTACTGAAAAGTAGGCTTGTTTAAGAAAGGAAAGCATGTAAAAGCCACAGTTTTGGTTAGATCAATAATGTGTAAAAGCCCTTTAATACAAGGACTATAACTTCTTAAATTCATGAGATGTTAAACCAGCTAACCACGTACATTCCAATAGATATGTTGATTTGAATTCAACAAATCCTACTTAGAACATGCTAATCGCATGTGTTTATTTTTAGTTTTCTGAGGACTGACTTGTTTATAAGTGTTTTACCTGCATTCGTGTGTGTGCCTGGTGTTCATAGAGGTCAGCAGAGGGCATCATGTCTCCTGAGACGATAGTGACAGAGGGCTGTGAGCTACCTTGTGGGTGCTGGGAATCAACTCTGTGTCCTCTGTAAGAGTACCAAGCGCTCGTAGGTGCTGTGCCAGTGCCTCAGATTCACCTACATGTACTTTAGATCCCTTGCAAATAGACAGATTGCAAGTATTTTGTTTGCTTATTTGTTTGGCACAACAGTGATATGTTGAAAATTTTGTCTTATGTTTAAGTTTTATATTAGTATCATCATACTAATAATGTCATATGATTCTGGAGAAGTAATCTAACCATTATGTGCCTCACTGCGATGCTGTAAATGAGGATTATATACCAATTTTTTAAGCATTATACTTAAATGAAAATAGTGGCTGTAAATCATTATAGTGCTAAGCACATGGTTTGTATTTAGAAATACTTGCTTTTTGTAACTCAGCAAATTTTATCTCCTACCTGCTGTGTTTTATGTACAATTCCAGGCACTGGAGTTACAGAAGACAAAGCTAAAAAAACCTATTTTAAATTCTGTGTTCTATTATTGATACTAATTTTTTTATTTTTGCCTCAAACTGTAAATACCATCTCAAAAACATTTAGAATCTTAGAAAATAGGATTTTATTTTGTAGACAATATATATCTCTATAGGTATTTATATACATACCTGTAAATACATTACGTGCCTAAGTTATTTATATATAATGTTAATCTGTTACACTTAGCAGCTTAAACGCTAAGTAAACCTTACTTACTAACTTTGTGTGTGCTTGCATCAAGTGCGTATAGAGGTCAGTTCTCTCTTTTTATCATGTAGGACCTGGGGATTGAACTCAAGTTGTCAGGCTTGGTGACAAGTGTCATTATCCACTGAGCCATCTCATCAGTCCTTAAGGTTTTTTTTTTTTTAATATATATGTATCATGTTGTTTTATAACTAAAGACCTAATCTAGAGTTTTAACAAAATCTTGTTGTTTGCAAATCAAGACGAGAAACAATCATGTGATTTTTAAAAAAGACATGTCTGTTCCTGAACAGCATAACTGTGGTGCATTAGAATGTTTAAGCCAAAATCAGTTTGACATAACTATTTATAGCATATGTTGTATTGTGTCAAAAGTGGCTAATTCCATTGTGTCAGCAGAATTTGGAGTAGTCAGAGTTGATTCAAAGCAGTCAAAGTCAGAGTTGGCCAATACCTCTTTCTTGGAACAACTCATGTTGAGACAATTTTCTGGAATAGGAGATTGTCAAGTACAGCATAAACTTGGCCATGTGAAAAGGTTTGGGAGCGTTCATTTTATCTCCTTCCCTGGTTCTTGGTAGAGCATTATGAGAAGGGGGGGGTGGGACCACTTCAAAATTTCTACTAGAATTTGACAGAGCCACATACTCTGAGTTGTAAGTCAAAAAGTTATAACAAGATTTTTCCAATATGAAGAATCTCACAGGCTTCTGGGTCTTTGGTAGGTTTCACAGTAAGAACGTTCTCTTGCTGATAAGCAAGTTGGACATTGATTTAAATAGTTAAAAACTCTTGCTATACTTTCTTCCTCATCCTAAACTTGAGACCTTTTGTAATCAAAATTCTTATACCCATGGCAAATGGATGTAAGACGCCTTATATTTTCTGTAAAATCTGAACTCTGCAAGGAAATTGAGCCCATATGCTATATAGGATTGCTTGAATGAAAGAACTGAGCGTAAGGATGGTAGCATTTGAGGGCATGTGTGAGCAGAAGCGCTGTGTTCCAGCATGTCCTGCCGGATGGGCAGCTTCGGCGTGCCTGGGAGTGCACAGAGTGAACAACGCTGTGCTTCCGAGGCTTGCTGAAGGGGACTGTATTTGACAAGGTCGTTGAAGAAACCTGATTCACATCAAAGGTCCTTCTGTTTTGGATTGAACCCGGCTTTGCCGTCTATCCTAGGATTCCTCACAAGCAGTCCTTTCCCATTTTGTATCTGTGATGCCTGTCCTGTACGGGGCATGTGATTGTGGAATTGTACAAGGTGTGTGAGCCCTGCTTTTAGGTTTTGTGACTTTGTCATGTAATGCTGATTAGAAATTCTACTTAAAAAATTTTCTACTTGCTATCATATTTTGTCTTCTAATAGCTTAAAGGAAATATGAGCCATGTCTGTTAAAAATGTAGACTGAAATTCCAGAACTTCTAAGTGTGGTATGCTATTGTGAATTATTTTAAATAAAAGTCTCTAAATGGCTCTGAGAGGTTTTTATCCCCTGCAGGTTTCTAAATTGAAAGTAGAAAAGATGCTGAGAGGCAGAATGTTTATAAAGAGACTTCCTCCTAATGCAAGTGATTTTTTTGAGAAATAAAGAGAAAATCCGTAATATCTGTATTTTTTAGTTTTAAAAGTTGTTTTAAATTTTACATAGGGTGAACACTTTGGAACTGTGGAAGCCACAGAAGCCTTCTTCGCAATGACTCGCTTGTTTCAGTCTAATGATGTAA